GGGAAAAGAGTAACAAGACGCAGCTGTCAACCGTTCGTTCTGGCAAACTTGATCTTCAACGTTCTGAAATTATATTATTTTGCTCCTTACTGATGTTAGATGTTACACATCATTGGTGACAACATTAATGCCCTCATTGTTTTGTTACGTTCAATTTTACATAATTTTTATTTAAATAAAGCGACATGTGACCACATATGGAAGAATTCGAGGTCTGATATTGAGATCCCAGTTAATTGTCATCCTGAAAAAGAAACTTTTCAACGAGACAGCCGAATGGTGGGACACATTGTCTGCTAGTATATTTAGGGATGAGTATCCTAGGTATCCCACCATCGATGTAAGGACAAATAATTTACTTTGTATTGAGACTTTTATTGTCATTATTTTTATTTATAGGAAATTAGCATAACGGAAGATGAAAAGACCTATTCTGTGGATTTGAGACCCTTCATGAACAGCTCTCCGTACACAGTGTTACATGTAAGATTTATTATCCTATTGTAGTCTAGTAAAATTAAACTTGTTGTTATTTAAGAGTATTACCATTAAATTTGTTTCAGAATACATCACTGCCGCGAATGTTCAGGCTTTTTAGAGGGCTGGGCCTGCGTCATTTGCCGATCGTTAATGATACTAATGAGGTATGTGTTTTTGTTTAATTTTAAGACCTAATAATAACTACAATAACGTTTCGTGCGTAGGTAATCGGAATGGTTACGAGAAAAGATCTGGCTCGTTACAGAGTTTGGGTACATAGGGGTCGTATGGGTCTTGATGAGCTACTAATGTCTAAGGAAATTTAATAAATGGTAATTAAGCGATGTCATAGTAAAATTTATTTATTGACGACTTGTTCTGATACTAAGTGTAAATTTGTTTCTTTGTTTTTGTAATATACTTTAATATTAACCCCATATTTTACCAAAGAAGAAAATTATAACATACTTTTATGTTGTTTGTTAAGTAACTAACAAAAGACAAAAAAGTACGTTAAATTATATTTTTGTTGGTTTTGTTTGATTCCACAAAAATTGTATTAAGATGGAAGTAATAATAGAATATTAACATACTTATTTCAATTTATTTAAGGTAAAAAAGTACTTTTTATAACATATTACTATCTACAACTTTAAAAAATAATACTTTTATTATGACACTTTAGATCCCTTTTTGTACAGAACTTACAAAATATTTCAGTATATAACACAAATACTTATAATATTTAAGTGTGCAACGTTTTATTACATTTCCTTATCCTAATAAGCCATATACATATGTAACGTTATTATTAGTAGTATCATTCATCCCATTATAGGACAGCCAGCATGAACATGGAGTAGTACTTCTTGCTTCAAATTCGTAACATGTTGTTTAAGTTGGTTCAAAAGAGACGTAAGGTCGGCATTTTCGGCTTTCAAGTGTTTCACTTTGTCTTCTAATCTTGATATACGTTCCAATTTTCTTGTTCGACACTTTGAGGCAGCTAAACGATTTCGTTGACGTTTTCGTTCCAATTTGATGCGTTCTTGTGCTTCCATATCAACAGGTGACATGGGTGGAGTTGTGGTATTTAAATTGGGGACAGTTTGAGGCTCCTCTTTCACAACCGGACCTAATGTATAACTATTGAGTGTTGGCTCTTCCAGATCACCGTACACTGTTGGTCCTGTTGAATTTTCAGATGCTGAAATTAAACAACATTCAAATTATCTATTTATAATTCAGTAAAAAAAAAAGATTATACCTTGTGAAATTGCACTGCTCGTAGAATTTATAGAGTTATTGTTGTGCAGATTGTTTAGGGCATTTACAAAACCAGTTGCAAAGGATTCTTGTTCTTCTGTTACTGCTTTAGGAAACAATAGTGTGGGTGTTGGAGTGGAAACAGACATACCGTTTTCTAGAATCATCTTCTCTAAATCGGGCGTATTTACCTTTAGTAGATTTAAGTCTGGAGATGAAAGGACAGATTTTAAACTAGGAATATTCAGGTTATTTTTCTTGGTTTGATTCAAGTCCAGGGTAAGATTTCGTCTCATGCTGTTGATGTTTTTTTGATTCTCGTGCATTTGGTTGCTCATTTTTAATTGTTTTTGTACAATTGCCAGCCTAACCAAGCCCACAATTCGAAAAACAAACTTACTGGTAAAATTACCAAAACTAATAGGGAGTAGTAAATATTGTCAGCTACTTCCATACAATCTGAAAATGTTTATAAAATTGTAAAATAATGTTAAATAATGACAAACTTAATTATAGGTAATTACCTGTGCTATTGTTATAATAGTCAGCGATGTTAGTTTCACAAATTTTATGCCACGATTATTAATGGGTTTTTCTTCACATGTAAAAACACAGAACACTTTTGTTTTTAGAGAAGTTTGATAACTTTCGAGAGACAAAGACTTAAAGCTTTCTGGAAAATGAATTTATTTCAGGAGGTGACTCATATTTAGGTTACGTCACGTAAATTTATATTATAATGACCTTGGCGTCATCTTGTACGTCACGGATTTTCCGTGATAGCGCCATCTTCAAGCAGTAGGCGATAATGCAAACTACAATGAAAGTAGTTTTCAATTACCCTCGCTACTGTCATCTACCATTGAAAAGGTTTTATATTATTTGCCGATAAAGTAGAATGTCGTTAGGCTTACCATTGTTCCCTTTAATCATATCAAGGTGGCCATGGCAGTGCTTTAATTTACAACTGAATGCTGTCAAACGAAATGAAACGTCGTGCGTGCAAGAAACTGTTAAAAATCTTCCGAAAACAATAAATTTAGGCTGTGCAGCAAACTTCGGCTTCGCAAATGTAACGTTCAGCTTAATGTGTCTGTTTGTTTTTGTGTTTTTAAGTGTTTAAATATGTGTAATGTACCGCCAAAGTTTTATCAAGTGTGTCGTCTTTGTTTATCATGTCCGCAGCGAATTGATAACGAGTTGAATTTGTCCATTTTCGAAAACGACAATGCTCACAGGAATATCCCAAACAAGATAATGACGTGTCTTTCTATACTGGTAGGTGATTCATTGTTTATCCGCCTCTTAACAAGCTTTCATTCTTTTTTTTCTCTATTCCGAGAGTGTTATTATTGGGGCGATTATTTATTACGAGACCAGCAGTGTATCCTATCGGCTCTCGTACAGCTGCATCATTTGAGCTATTTTCGGACCATTTTCCGAGTGCACCGGAACCGAACTCAATTCTTTTTATTTTGTTAACATCTGTGTGTGCTTGTATGTACCGAGTATGAGATGCGTGGGTATTTTTTGATGCATTACAATTGTGTAGTAGATTACGACCCAGTTAGGTTATGTGTACAATTTGATCGGTGCTGATACCTGGACCGTTTACCTGAGAGCACTCGTGCGAGTTTCCTAGGTACATGGAGAAAGTTTGGCAACTAAATACAATAATATATAACGAACGATACAAACGATCGCTGCCGTAGTTATATATTGTATGTAGATAGTTGATTACGATGATGAGAGATCGTTGCTGATAACGTTCATTTTGTTGTCTCGTAAAGGCCGCTCTGCTGCTCTTCTTACCTCTTGCCGCTTCCTCCTCGCCTGGCTGGAGTTATTCTTCTGCTTCGCGAGGTTTTTATGCTACCTTTCCGGTTTTATTTTCGTCTTTTTCTTGTTTGCGTGATATACGGGCATAGACATATATGTGTCTCTACTATTTAGAACAGAAAAAACCTGCTTTAAATCATAGACGAAGGTCCAATATTAAATTCGGTGTTCTTCACAGTACCACAATGATCTTATTCCTTATGGGTACATTTATTTACCTACTATGTTATTACAATAGTAGTGGATTGATGAATGATTTTCTTTTGTTTAGCCATATAAGTAATAATAATAAATAATTAGTGCAGGTATCTAATTCATTTTTAAAGTGATTGCAAAAAAGACAATGAATGATATTGGCAAATTATTTATTTGGTAATTTACATATTATGTATCAATGTAGGTACACTTCTAAAAATAGAAACGCAGTGGGTAGTATCAAGTTTCTCATTATTATTTGCTTTGTAATATTTATCAGTTTTATATCGTTGGGACCTTTTTGCCTTTTTTTTTTAGATAGGTACCTATCTACTTAATGTTATTTATTACACACCTGTACATTATGTTAAAGCAGTAAAGAAGTAGATTAGTAAATATTATTGGGGTAGGTTTTAAAAGTAATGTTTATTCCACTTTTTTTTTTTTATAGATATCTGATAGTGACCCACTGCCTCATGTAATTTGTTTACGTTGTGCCGAACAATTGGACATGTTCTATACTTTTAAAGAAACTGCACAGAAGTCCGAAGATATCTTACACCAGTTCCTTGCTTATGCCGAACAAATTTCTGGTTCTTCTTGCCAGGTAGGTAACAAAAAAAAAAGTTTTCCCAGCTTACTTAAAATGCATAAAAATAAAATTTCTCCAGTCATCAGTAACTAATTAAGTATTACTCACTAAGTAAAATAATATAAAGATCTGTATGTATACGGTTTGATTGAGTGTCTTTTACTACGAAATAAATAATTTTCTCTGCGTAGGTACTGAAATAAAAAAAATCTGTGCTCTCCTAATATCTCGCGTCATAAGTTGAAACTGGATTATAAACTACTTGATTTGGAAATGGATAATTGAGGCTTCTATTGTATGTTTTCCATTTCATTACCGCCAGCCATACGGCCATAGCTGTAGAAATGATTAATAACGCCATCATTAACATCAGTACGATTCTCATAAGCGTCATCGACTTATGGAAAACTGATTTACTTGTAGAATCTTCAAGGGGCTAAAAGAAAACATTTGCCTTATTGTTATCTTTATTAATTATTTGCCTGTTTTTGTTTTGTTGCCCGTTTGAAAACGCTTGACGTATGCATTAGTGTTTCGTACCAAAAGTGGGGAAAAAAGGTACCTTAATGCTTTCAAGGAGGGCTAGGGTCAAGTGGGGTGTCATACGAAAGGGCTCGATTTCTACTTTCCTGTAAACATTTCGTTTTCTAATTTTAAAGTACATTTTGGCCATTTATAATAAAAAAAGTTCGAAAAAAGATCCTTCTTCGTCAATCCCCTAGATTTCGGAACAAATGGGATGAGCTGGAAGGGGGAAGAGGTGAAATATAAAAGTGGGAGCAGTAGGATGTTATCGTTGTGTAAATATACCGAGTGTTGGTAGAAAATTGGTTCTGCTTTTGTGTGTGTTCATGCCACAGTAACAAACACAATAAAAGTGGCATAGAATAAAAGAGACTCACCCACATTCCGCAGGCGTTGTCCTTGAGTGTGTACACTTCTCTTGATGTGAACGCCTTCGCGTCCAGGCAGTACGGCCCGTCGCCATTTCGTTTGATGTCTTCATTGAGCTGTTGCGATATGTTGTACAGATCACAGTCGCAATAGAATCGGTTCCCTTTCAAATTCAACACCCTCAGACTCGACCAAGAGGGCAGCAACTTGTAGGAGACGTGCAGCAAGGAGTTACTCTCCATGTATAACTTAACAGAAAAAGAACACCCTGTATTATATAATGCTACATAATTAACACACATAAGTATACGTAGGTGTAATAACAGTCTTACTAGAAAAATGAAAAATATTGGGAAAGTATCTTAGTTTTCCAAACTTTGTTTTGTTATTTACTACTTGATAGGTTTTATGATATAAGAATGGTCCACATATCGTGGAAACGAAACGTTTTTATGCAGGTACAAGTTTGGCATTGAATTTATCTTGAATAAAATAATTTATTCGTTACATCATAATCTTTCAGCATGAGTCATGGAAATTTATCTATGATAGGTGTACTAATGAATAGTGTAGGTAAGATACGAGTATGTTGGAGCAGTCTCTCTTTTTATTAGTTATTGTTATTGCTCTATTTGGTACTCATGATCGAATTAATTATTTTTATTCTTTTTTTTTTTATAAAAATGTACCTACCCTATAGTACAAATATTTACCTCTTGTAAATTTGTAGTGCCTATGAAGGCATCTTCATCTATTTCGAACAACTTAGGATTTTCTGAGAGGCTGAGGACTTGTAGCTTTTTTAGGTGCGCGAAAGCGTAGGCTGTTACTGAGGTCAGTTCTGTTAAATTGTTGGCGTAAAGTTTTAGAAGGTTTACGAGTCCTGAAATTAAATAAATATCTAAAGAATATAATAGGGTAATAAGCATGAGCAACTGTAATCTTATAAAACTTGTAAAGGAGAGGAATTAAAGTTGCATACAATATATTATCATACGTTGCCGTTAAACTAAGTAAACTTTAATCTAAATTAATTTATAATTAATGCCGGTAGAAAACACCTTAATTTCGATAATTTTTACCAAAAGTGTTAACGGTTGAGTGGTATACAGTGTTCGTTTTCCATGCGAACAGCCTGGGTTCGACGCTTAATTGATGCAATACTTTTTACTTGTTTTTTTGTTAGGTAAAATAAATTGATTGTTATCGATCACATTCGATACTAGTTTAATTTAATAAATAAAATAGAAAATAATGGCATATTTTGATGGTCGTGGGTGAAGTATTTTTATATTTTTATAATATAATACGTACCTTCGAAGCTTTTGTTATTAAATTCAATAATTGGGTTTCCACTTATATTCAGTATTTGCAAAGTTTTGTAAACGTATGCAAGAGAGCTGGGAACAAAGTCGAGATCGTTTAAAGCCAAGTTTAGGTCCGTTAAATTTCCTTTTAAATTTTTCAAAACATCAATCGGTATTTCCGTCAGTTGATTATGAGCTAAACTTAAACTCTGAAAATACGAAATTTAAAGTACGTTAGTTATGTTTAACGTTCAACTAGGGATACTTTACTTGTAAATTGGGCAGATAGGAGAATGAAAATGCTGTAACGTGATCCAGAACCCTGAAGTGGTTCCCCTCTAAATTCAGGACTTTCAAATAAGGGATGTGTTGGAACATATTCTTTTGTAAACTGTGTAAATTATTGTATGCCAAGTTTAAATACTCCAGAGCTATGGGACGAAAATCTGTGACATTATACGGTCCCTTGAAAACGTCCCCACCAAGTTGATCGTCTAAAAAAATATTAATAGGTATACATTTCCGAATATGTTTAAGTTTACTATTAGGTAACTTACTTTCTAGTAAATTGTGACTTAAGTCGACGTATTTCACGTTTACTGCGCTTTCAAACAGGCCCGTATTAAGATATTTTATGTTGCAGTTGCTAAAGATGAGTTGCAAATTTGCATCCGTTCCTGGCATCTCTTCGAGCGTTGTAATGTTATTGTTTTTGAAATTGGCAAATATATTCGAGGTTTTTGACGCGCGATCGGGCCAATTTGCAATTGTGTGATGCATTCGGGCTTTTGAACAGTCTATGACGGCCGATTTTTCATTTGATGAATACTGACATGTGCATCTATCTTTACACAAATTAATAGAATTTTCAAAAGTTTCTTCTTGTAGGGAAAAATCTACTAAAATCCACAAAAGGCATATTGTGACCTGTAAAAAGAATTAATAGAATAAATTAATTTAGTATTAGGATAAATAGGTTAGATAAAGGTACCGTTTTTGTCTTTTATAAGCATGGGACAATGTGCAGTGCAATGCTTGCTTGGTTGGTGTATGAATCATTTCAGAAAAAAGTTAGGCAATTAAATCAAANTCAAGGAAAAAGTACTTCTTGCCGAAAGGACTTCAATGTGTTTCGGTACTTTAGAGAGGACCATGAAAAAAGGGACTTTGTTTCTGGCGGAGCAGCTGCTGGCGTTTCGGCAGCCTTTGGGGCACCAGTAGGTAAGTATCTACCTACATATATAAAATAAATATGATTTTATAAAATATTTTATTTCAGGGGGAGTTCTTTTCAGTTTAGAAGAAGGAACTAGTTTCTGGAACCAAAGCCTGACTTGGAAAACGTTTTTTGCGTCTGTGATAAGCACTTTCACACTGAATGTAGTCTTATCTACATATCACGGTGTCCCTGGAGATTTAAGTTATCCTGGACTTCTAAATTTAGGACAGTTTGAACGATTTTCCTATGAAGTGTATGAATTACCTATTTTTGTTTTGATGGGACTATTTGGAGGCATTTTAGGTTCCTTCTGGAACCATATCAACTATAAACTTACAGTATTTCGGATAAGGTAACTTTATTATTGATTTCAGTGTTCATAAACAAACACTTTTATTTTGTTTCATTCAGGTATTTGAGAAAGCGTTGGGTGAAGGTTTTAGAGGCGTGCATCGTAGCAGCTGTAAGTGCAACTGTTGGCTTTTTAATGATGTTTTCAATTAATGATTGTAAGCCTCTGGGCCAGGATCCGACCAAGTATCCAACACAGGTCAAAATTCATTTATTCGAATTGTATAAATCCTTTATATAATATTAAATTTCTTTTTAGATGTATTGCGGCGACGGCGAGTATAATGTGTTGGCTTCAATCTGGTTCCAAACGCCAGAGGCTTCTGTACGATCTCTATTTCACGACCCCCGAAATACTCACAATGCCCTATCCCTTGCAGTTTTCGTTTTTTTCTATTTCTTCCTTGCTACTTGGACTTTCGGTTTGTCCACATCGAACGGTCTTTTTATTCCCACTCTGCTTACAGGAGCCGCATGGGGTCGCCTGGTCTCAGTCGCACTTTTTTACTTATTCCCTGACTCTGTATGTACATAACTTCAACTTTTCCATTTTGTTGGCTCTTTGGTCTCTGTAATATTTTGTTACAGAAACTTATTCATCCTGGAAAATATGCTCTTATAGGAGCCGCCGCACAACTGGGAGGGGTCGTTAGAATGACAATAAGTTTAACTGTAATAATTATGGAGACAACTGGAAATATATCGTTCGCTTTGCCTCTCATTGTGACTCTTATAGCAGCCAAGTGGACTGGTGACTTCTTCAACGAAGTGTGTACTACATTGTACATTTCCAAGACAATAATATTACTCATATTTTATCTGTTTCCTTTTTAAGGGAATTTATGACATTCATATTCAATTGAGCGGAATTCCTCTGTTACCCTGGGAGCCCCCGCCATTGACTAGCAATATATACGCAAGTGAGGTAATGTCTCATCCTGTGGTTACTTTGAAAACTGTTGAAAATGTTGGCCACATTGTGGAGTTGTTACGGTTGACTTCATATAATGGATTTCCAGTTGTTGACCCCCCAATCACGGACCAGGTGAGTTAAAAAAGACCGTTGTAACAATCTATGGATAATAAACTTTAATAATGTGTGACATCTTGCTGCTGAGTATGTGGGGAAGTTATGGGGGGGGGGGGTAAGCGTACGCCATTGAGTTAAAGGTTGAATAGACAGAAAGAAAAGGGGAAAAGAGTAACAAGACGCAGCTGTCAACCGTTCGTTCTGGCAAACTTGATCTTCAACGTTCTGAAATTATATTATTTTGCTCCTTACTGATGTTAGATGTTACACATCATTGGTGACAACATTAATGCCCTCATTGTTTTGTTACGTTCAATTTTACATAATTTTTATTTAAATAAAGCGACATGTGACCACATATGGAAGAATTCGAGGTCTGATATTGAGATCCCAGTTAATTGTCATCCTGAAAAAGAAACTTTTCAACGAGACAGCCGAATGGTGGGACACATTGTCTGCTAGTATATTTAGGGATGAGTATCCTAGGTATCCCACCATCGATGTAAGGACAAATAATTTACTTTGTATTGAGACTTTTATTGTCATTATTTTTATTTATAGGAAATTAGCATAACGGAAGATGAAAAGACCTATTCTGTGGATTTGAGACCCTTCATGAACAGCTCTCCGTACACAGTGTTACATGTAAGATTTATTATCCTATTGTAGTCTAGTAAAATTAAACTTGTTGTTATTTAAGAGTATTACCATTAAATTTGTTTCAGAATACATCACTGCCGCGAATGTTCAGGCTTTTTAGAGGGCTGGGCCTGCGTCATTTGCCGATCGTTAATGATACTAATGAGGTATGTGTTTTTGTTTAATTTTAAGACCTAATAATAACTACAATAACGTTTCGTGCGTAGGTAATCGGAATGGTTACGAGAAAAGATCTGGCTCGTTACAGAGTTTGGGTACATAGGGGTCGTATGGGTCTTGATGAGCTACTAATGTCTAAGGAAATTTAATAAATGGTAATTAAGCGATGTCATAGTAAAATTTATTTATTGACGACTTGTTCTGATACTAAGTGTAAATTTGTTTCTTTGTTTTTGTAATATACTTTAATATTAACCCCATATTTTACCAAAGAAGAAAATTATAACATACTTTTATGTTGTTTGTTAAGTAACTAACAAAAGACAAAAAAGTACGTTAAATTATATTTTTGTTGGTTTTGTTTGATTCCACAAAAATTGTATTAAGATGGAAGTAATAATAGAATATTAACATACTTATTTCAATTTATTTAAGGTAAAAAAGTACTTTTTATAACATATTACTATCTACAACTTTAAAAAATAATACTTTTATTATGACACTTTAGATCCCTTTTTGTACAGAACTTACAAAATATTTCAGTATATAACACAAATACTTATAATATTTAAGTGTGCAACGTTTTATTACATTTCCTTATCCTAATAAGCCATATACATATGTAACGTTATTATTAGTAGTATCATTCATCCCATTATAGGACAGCCAGCATGAACATGGAGTAGTACTTCTTGCTTCAAATTCGTAACATGTTGTTTAAGTTGGTTCAAAAGAGACGTAAGGTCGGCATTTTCGGCTTTCAAGTGTTTCACTTTGTCTTCTAATCTTGATATACGTTCCAATTTTCTTGTTCGACACTTTGAGGCAGCTAAACGATTTCGTTGACGTTTTCGTTCCAATTTGATGCGTTCTTGTGCTTCCATATCAACAGGTGACATGGGTGGAGTTGTGGTATTTAAATTGGGGACAGTTTGAGGCTCCTCTTTCACAACCGGACCTAATGTATAACTATTGAGTGTTGGCTCTTCCAGATCACCGTACACTGTTGGTCCTGTTGAATTTTCAGATGCTGAAATTAAACAACATTCAAATTATCTATTTATAATTCAGTAAAAAAAAAAGATTATACCTTGTGAAATTGCACTGCTCGTAGAATTTATAGAGTTATTGTTGTGCAGATTGTTTAGGGCATTTACAAAACCAGTTGCAAAGGATTCTTGTTCTTCTGTTACTGCTTTAGGAAACAATAGTGTGGGTGTTGGAGTGGAAACAGACATACCGTTTTCTAGAATCATCTTCTCTAAATCGGGCGTATTTACCTTTAGTAGATTTAAGTCTGGAGATGAAAGGACAGATTTTAAACTAGGAATATTCAGGTTATTTTTCTTGGTTTGATTCAAGTCCAGGGTAAGATTTCGTCTCATGCTGTTGATGTTTTTTTGATTCTCGTGCATTTGGTTGCTCATTTTTAATTGTTTTTGTACAATTGCCAGCCTAACCAAGCCCACAATTCGAAAAACAAACTTACTGGTAAAATTACCAAAACTAATAGGGAGTAGTAAATATTGTCAGCTACTTCCATACAATCTGAAAATGTTTATAAAATTGTAAAATAATGTTAAATAATGACAAACTTAATTATAGGTAATTACCTGTGCTATTGTTATAATAGTCAGCGATGTTAGTTTCACAAATTTTATGCCACGATTATTAATGGGTTTTTCTTCACATGTAAAAACACAGAACACTTTTGTTTTTAGAGAAGTTTGATAACTTTCGAGAGACAAAGACTTAAAGCTTTCTGGAAAATGAATTTATTTCAGGAGGTGACTCATATTTAGGTTACGTCACGTAAATTTATATTATAATGACCTTGGCGTCATCTTGTACGTCACGGATTTTCCGTGATAGCGCCATCTTCAAGCAGTAGGCGATAATGCAAACTACAATGAAAGTAGTTTTCAATTACCCTCGCTACTGTCATCTACCATTGAAAAGGTTTTATATTATTTGCCGATAAAGTAGAATGTCGTTAGGCTTACCATTGTTCCCTTTAATCATATCAAGGTGGCCATGGCAGTGCTTTAATTTACAACTGAATGCTGTCAAACGAAATGAAACGTCGTGCGTGCAAGAAACTGTTAAAAATCTTCCGAAAACAATAAATTTAGGCTGTGCAGCAAACTTCGGCTTCGCAAATGTAACGTTCAGCTTAATGTGTCTGTTTGTTTTTGTGTTTTTAAGTGTTTAAATATGTGTAATGTACCGCCAAAGTTTTATCAAGTGTGTCGTCTTTGTTTATCATGTCCGCAGCGAATTGATAACGAGTTGAATTTGTCCATTTTCGAAAACGACAATGCTCACAGGAATATCCCAAACAAGATAATGACGTGTCTTTCTATACTGGTAGGTGATTCATTGTTTATCCGCCTCTTAACAAGCTTTCATTCTTTTTTTTCTCTATTCCGAGAGTGTTATTATTGGGGCGATTATTTATTACGAGACCAGCAGTGTATCCTATCGGCTCTCGTACAGCTGCATCATTTGAGCTATTTTCGGACCATTTTCCGAGTGCACCGGAACCGAACTCAATTCTTTTTATTTTGTTAACATCTGTGTGTGCTTGTATGTACCGAGTATGAGATGCGTGGGTATTTTTTGATGCATTACAATTGTGTAGTAGATTACGACCCAGTTAGGTTATGTGTACAATTTGATCGGTGCTGATACCTGGACCGTTTACCTGAGAGCACTCGTGCGAGTTTCCTAGGTACATGGAGAAAGTTTGGCAACTAAATACAATAATATATAACGAACGATACAAACGATCGCTGCCGTAGTTATATATTGTATGTAGATAGTTGATTACGATGATGAGAGATCGTTGCTGATAACGTTCATTTTGTTGTCTCGTAAAGGCCGCTCTGCTGCTCTTCTTACCTCTTGCCGCTTCCTCCTCGCCTGGCTGGAGTTATTCTTCTGCTTCGCGAGGTTTTTATGCTACCTTTCCGGTTTTATTTTCGTCTTTTTCTTGTTTGCGTGATATACGGGCATAGACATATATGTGTCTCTACTATTTAGAACAGAAAAAACCTGCTTTAAATCATAGACGAAGGTCCAATATTAAATTCGGTGTTCTTCACAGTACCACAATGATCTTATTCCTTATGGGTACATTTATTTACCTACTATGTTATTACAATAGTAGTGGATTGATGAATGATTTTCTTTTGTTTAGCCATATAAGTAATAATAATAAATAATTAGTGCAGGTATCTAATTCATTTTTAAAGTGATTGCAAAAAAGACAATGAATGATATTGGCAAATTATTTATTTGGTAATTTACATATTATGTATCAATGTAGGTACACTTCTAAAAATAGAAACGCAGTGGGTAGTATCAAGTTTCTCATTATTATTTGCTTTGTAATATTTATCAGTTTTATATCGTTGGGACCTTTTTGCCTTTTTTTTTTAGATAGGTACCTATCTACTTAATGTTATTTATTACACACCTGTACATTATGTTAAAGCAGTAAAGAAGTAGATTAGTAAATATTATTGGGGTAGGTTTTAAAAGTAATGTTTATTCCACTTTTTTTTTTTTATAGATATCTGATAGTGACCCACTGCCTCATGTAATTTGTTTACGTTGTGCCGAACAATTGGACATGTTCTATACTTTTAAAGAAACTGCACAGAAGTCCGAAGATATCTTACACCAGTTCCTTGCTTATGCCGAACAAATTTCTGGTTCTTCTTGCCAGGTAGGTAACAAAAAAAAAAGTTTTCCCAGCTTACTTAAAATGCATAAAAATAAAATTTCTCCAGTCATCAGTAACTAATTAAGTATTACTCACTAAGTAAAATAATATAAAGATCTGTATGTATACGGTTTGATTGAGTGTCTTTTACTACGAAATAAATAATTTTCTCTGCGTAGGTACTGAAATAAAAAAAATCTGTGCTCTCCTAATATCTCGCGTCATAAGTTGAAACTGGATTATAAACTACTTGATTTGGAAATGGATAATTGAGGCTTCTATTGTATGTTTTCCATTTCATTACCGCCAGCCATACGGCCATAGCTGTAGAAATGATTAATAACGCCATCATTAACATCAGTACGATTCTCATAAGCGTCATCGACTTATGGAAAACTGATTTACTTGTAGAATCTTCAAGGGGCTAAAAGAAAACATTTGCCTTATTGTTATCTTTATTAATTATTTGCCTGTTTTTGTTTTGTTGCCCGTTTGAAAACGCTTGACGTATGCATTAGTGTTTCGTACCAAAAGTGGGGAAAAAAGGTACCTTAATGCTTTCAAGGAGGGCTAGGGTCAAGTGGGGTGTCATACGAAAGGGCTCGATTTCTACTTTCCTGTAAACATTTCGTTTTCTAATTTTAAAGTACATTTTGGCCATTTATAATAAAAAAAGTTCGAAAAAAGATCCTTCTTCGTCAATCCCCTAGATTTCGGAACAAATGGGATGAGCTGGAAGGGGGAAGAGGTGAAATATAAAAGTGGGAGCAGTAGGATGTTATCGTTGTGTAAATATACCGAGTGTTGGTAGAAAATTGGTTCTGCTTTTGTGTGTGTTCATGCCACAGTAACAAACACAATAAAAGTGGCATAGAATAAAAGAGACTCACCCACATTCCGCAGGCGTTGTCCTTGAGTGTGTACACTTCTCTTGATGTGAACGCCTTCGCGTCCAGGCAGTACGGCCCGTCGCCATTTCGTTTGATGTCTTCATTGAGCTGTTGCGATATGTTGTACAGATCACAGTCGCAATAGAATCGGTTCCCTTTCAAATTCAACACCCTCAGACTCGACCAAGAGGGCAGCAACTTGTAGGAGACGTGCAGCAAGGAGTTACTCTCCATGTATAACTTAACAGAAAAAGAACACCCTGTATTATATAATGCTACATAATTAACACACATAAGTATACGTAGGTGTAATAACAGTCTTACTAGAAAAATGAAAAATATTGGGAAAGTATCTTAGTTTTCCAAACTTTGTTTTGTTATTTACTACTTGATAGGTTTTATGATATAAGAATGGTCCACATATCGTGGAAACGAAACGTTTTTATGCAGGTACAAGTTTGGCATTGAATTTATCTTGAATAAAATAATTTATTCGTTACATCATAATCTTTCAGCATGAGTCATGGAAATTTATCTATGATAGGTGTACTAATGAATAGTGTAGGTAAGATACGAGTATGTTGGAGCAGTCTCTCTTTTTATTAGTTATTGTTATTGCTCTATTTGGT